CACACACACACACACACACACACACACACACACACACACACACACACTACATTTGCGCATACACACGCATGCACGCGTGCGCGCGGGTCGACTGCTTTTTTTTTTTATTGACAACGTCTCAACGAGCGAAGACTCATTTGCGATTACGGATCGACGGCAAATATTATATTTACGATTACTTTGTATATTATTATATAGATATTTTGTATTATGTATACGCGGATGCAATCCGAGTAATAATAGCGGATTCGACTGTCTTTATTTTTTACATTTTCTTACCTCTCAAAACTATAAGAAAGAAACGAGAAAAGAGGCACAAGCAAACATCGATCTCCTCTACCTGAGTTTCCTTTCGGTATATTTGAAGTAAACAAAAATTAAAAAATAAAAAAAAAAAATAAAGACGAACGTTATGCTGCCCCGTGGTTAGTTCACTATTATTAGACGACTTTTTCCTCGGACGTGTGAGAAATTTTACATTACGTAATTATACAAAGTGTCTTTCACGCATCGAAAAGTAAAGAAAAAAAAAACAAAAAAAAAAACAAAATGAAACAGACATTTTGATGTATAATGTTATCGAACGGGAATTGAAGTTTTTTGTACGAGGCCGCCCACCGAAAGCGGCCGCAAAATATTCCACGAAGACACGAGGATATATATTAATATTTAAGTAGCTTACTATTATTAACTGATATTACGATTACATACAGAACAAACAAGATGGAAAAAGTAACAATTAGCGTGTGGAAGCTGTTTATACTTAGGACAATGCGTACGTTTACACCCGTGGTTACACTATTATTGCGGATTATTACGAAGTACGAGTAAATAATAATAAATTAGTGACGAGAAACCAAGACCATAAACGCAAACACAGTAGGTAGGCACATCCAGTACAGTAAGATTATTGTAAGAGGAATACTAATAATAATTATAATATGACTGCTCGTTTTATGCTCGGCGCTATACATTTCATTGTCATTATTATATCACCATTTATTAACGATATACATACAAACAAATAAAATGTGTTTATAAATATAATGTGATCTTTACGAAATTTATCGATCTTTATTGATTGAACCCTATACGATGAGTACGTTTATTGTTCTTCGAGTTAATAATTCTCGTAATTTCAATTAGTTTAATTTTATTTTAACGTGGAAATCAGGTATGTATACGCGATATAAATCATCAATTGATTCCTAAGCCGTTTAATTTCAAAGACGATAAATATACAACACGTACGAGTTCGACCTGGTAAGTATATATTTTGTAATATTACTTGATTATTTAAATTAATTGATTGCTATTCTATTCGTAAACAACATTACATATACGTTTTCATGGGGCAACAAACGGTATTGCTGCGATACCAGTCTGTCAAATTATTTCAAGCCCTATCCCTATGTTATAATTTATCCACATAATTAATATTATTGCATGTTCAGAAGTATTTCCAATTTTTATTTACCATTTTTATGGTCACCTTAGGGGGCAAAATCTGGCAAACAGAGGTATCGCCATCTCGCGGTCAACACCTCGAAGCTTAATCACGTGAGTGCGAGAGAGAACGCAACAGCGTGCGACAGGGATAGGTCTCTGCGCCTACCAGGTGGTAACCGAACCAACAAACTGGCTAGCATAGGTTGCCGCATACCAGGGGCACCTCAGCGCCAACGATGTAGCAACCGGATCTATACCTAATTTCGGTTGATATCTAACAGTAATGATAAAACAAAATTGAACCAACATGTTTATTATCTAAAATCTGAAGGTTTACATAACAACAAACGGGTTGAAACGATTTCTGAGGATTACTCGCAACGTAACATTTTACTTCTAATTTGGCGCAATCTTCAACTGTAGCTGTATTCTTTCTTGAAACATTAAAATTAGTAACAGGTAACCGATTTGATCATTTTTTTTTTGCGATAGAAAGTAACTCTCGCAGTAGATTGCTTTTAAAAGAATACAGCTAATAATACTCTTTGTTTATTAATTATCGCTGAATTCTTTTCAACAATGTTCTACTCGACACTGGGATATGTTTTATATTGCTATAATTTAATTTTTAAGTATCTCATATACAACAGCGAATATGGTAACAAATGATGCAGTGTGCAAATCAGTAGACTGAAACGTGTATCAAAATTAGGTTAAGATGTATGTTATAATAATAGAGATGTTTGTATGTAGAAAACCATTATATAGACAGCGCTCCACTTTTTAAAAATATTGGATTTGGTTCTGGTAGATATACTACTAAAATGCAGACAGGTTACTTCAGTGAAACCAGCTTTCTAGATATGTAAAAGTAGACATAAGCATTGTATATGGTCCCTATTGGTCCAAAAATATTTTCGATTGTACTTCGAAAGTACTCATAGAAACAAAACAATGTCTTACAAAAAAAATGTACAATTGATATCAATGAAAAAAAAAAACAGGTGAAACTTATAACGATTAGTGCGTATTATATACTATCTACTTCCTTAACCTCTATATTGGAAATTTTCCTGTGATATATAAAGCTGTTTTAGTTTCTAGATGTATCGCACATTTACTTCGGCAATTTTTATTAACCCTTTATTTACTGGCGGGACTTATAAGTCCCGTGTAACTATGTGTAACCAAAAACTGTTGAAAAGTTCAGTAAATAAAGGGTTAATATAAACTAATAATCTAAATATTACGACAAACTCGCTTCTAGATCGAAAGCATCATATCCGAGGTAGTGTAATTACGAACCTAATTCCTTAGGTAATTCAAACATTTTGTATACTTCCTAGTGTCCTTTACAATTCGTTTTCGAGATATTACAAATTTTAGACTTTTATTAACATTGTTTTTAATTCAGCAAAAAGCGCCAAATAAGTTTTGTTCACCATTAAATTTAATACTTGCAATGTAAAAATCTAAAATTTTCTCACGTTGTTCTTCTCGACTTTTTCTGTGTACCTTCAAAATATCGTAATACACACAGCAGTTGTAATTATTATTTCACTTCTACTTCTCTATTTGACAACATGTTCTGCATTTTTTGCATCGCTTCAAGTGACTATTTATAAGTAATTCCATCTTGAATCGTAACAAGTTCTATTGCGCTTTGTACAATTAATGAACTAACGGTAAATATGACCGACGTCAAAAATCAATGATCCCTTACATTAAATATGTAAGTCACTTTGTGCCGCCGAAATTGGCGATCTATCGAATGCAATAGTACATAGTAGAAATAACAACAATCAAAAGACTGTAAAAATAAGACATAAATAAATATATTTTAATTCTCAAAGGTAATATTTCAATGAAAGACATTTTAAATCAACTGTTTTTCGATACGTGAACTTTTGACTAGAATTCCACAGCTATCGTTCGAAAAAATCTCACTTTCAAGCGAGCAGGATAATTTTTAAAAAATCGCTCAAGTGGTGAGACGCGAATAGTCGAATCAACCTGTTCAAAAGGCTGTGCTGGCCGTAGTGTTCGACTGCACGCCGGATTCCGAATTTGGACGTCCGGCGTGTGGCTATAGCTACGTGGACGCGGCGAGGCTTATCGACGTTGATTCGGTAACGGCAGCTCGAGGTTTAACGTCCAACGAATCGTAGAGCGGAAACTCGCAGCAAAAAAAGCATTTCAAGAAGTGTGGCACCTCGACGTAAATGGACGGCGGTATGGGTATCAGCGGCGATGTTGATTGTTTGTAATAACGGTATTCCGCATTGCTATAACGAAAATAATAACAAGGAATTATTTTAACGGTTCAAGCATTCGGAAATGTTAGTAGGATATCTGTACATATTGCAAACTCGGCACTTACTCGCGATATCTTTCGTCGGAAGCTCTTTCCAACAGAGGCATTCCAGACAAGAATAGAATGATGAAGGTTGTAAAAATTGGGGAAGCTATAGCGATCCATTCGGCGCCTTCGATTACGTTTAACGATATTACGAAAATGCCCCACCATACCACTATCTCCCCAAAATAATTTGGATGCCTGGATAATCGCCATAGACCTGCAATCGAACTCGATTATTGGCATATCATTGGGAATATATAAGTTATCGAAAATAGAAATAGATATTTAATTCTATGAAAATCGTACCGTCGTTGCACCATTTGCCATTATTTATTGGATCTTGTTTAAAGGAAAACTTTTGAAGGTCGGCGTACGTCTCGGCCAATAGTCCTGTTACGAAGAGGCCAGTACCAGCGCTGTCCAAGGTTGTCATAGTTTTGGGAGCCAGAGGAATTTTGTGTCGTGGTGAATTTATGATAATTACCGGTAGACTCACGACGTACACCCATACAGCCTGCAAGCAACTTCAAATTAGTTGGAAATAATACAATACAGCGTCGCTTATGCATGATTCCATTATGGAAAGTGGTGCTTCATCGAACTGTGACATATTATATATTCATATCTGGCAAGCTCAATTTCAATCAATAAAATAGCGGCATATTTGGCAATGGAGGCTGCATCGCAACTACCATTATTTTTGATACATATGTTTGGGTTACATTAGAAAATACTCGATTCATTGGAATTACCTGGAATGTCCAAAATACAGCGAAACGAATTACGTTGCTGCGGCGATCTTCGAATCTCTTATCGCGGCCGATCTTGATAATCCGATATAAAAGATAACCGGACAGACGCACACCCCATAAACAGACGAATATAGTAACCATGAGCTGCCGACTGTCGTAAGGCTAAATAAAAGAAGAAAAACACAATAGAATTGTATAAAAAGTACTACAGAAAATATAAAGGAAAGCATTGGGTTGTCCAGAAAGTTCGTGCCAATTTTTAAGAAACATTCAAAGACACGTTTGAATTTTTATATATATATATATATTTATTGAATTATATATGTAACATTTCGTTACACAATTTTTTCACCTTTTAAGGGGATATCCACATGTTATTTGTTTTTAACCGTTCCGATATATTCAGACCTGTACCGCCTACTAAAAATCGGCATGTACTTTCCAGACAACCCAACGTTTGTAATGGCGAATCCAAGGGTTCTATTTGTAACGGACTCCGTTGTAGATTCGTGATTTATGCAATTCGCGCGTCCAATAATGCGCGCGCGTGCAGAACTAGTTTATAATTAGAGTACCTTGCCCACTTGGCCGAGAAAGAATGTGAGAAGGGCGAGGATGATGAAGTTCATGCCGCCGGCGAAGTCCGTCAATTTGTCCAGCTGGAAGGTCGCAGCGATCGTGAAAAATATAATCTGCATACCGATGGTGACGATCGCACTCACAGCGAAGTGGTCCTCGTCCAAGATATCGACCGCCATTGATCCTCTTTGATTACCCTCTCCTCCGCCGGATGAACTATTTTCGAATCTGGAATTGTTAATTAACCCGTTACAGTACAAGACAAGTTAGCAATTTATAATACTCTTTCGAAGAATATTTGCAACGATAGCAACGCGTTATCCTTGGCAGTTGTGGGACGCCAAGTAAAAAAAAAACTATAGAACGTGTTGCTAGTAGTATACACCAAACCACGGTCAGGCACGAGTAGATCGTATATTGATCAAAAAACTCGATATTATTTCTACTCCGTTTTGTTTCATTCAAGTTTCGATACATCGGAAATGGATCGTAATGAACAAAAGAATGTTTTAAATAACAGCGATTTTCTATACAAAATTGTTTAGATTTCCATTTAATCCTTTAATCTTTAAAAATAGATTGTAATCCGTCTTATTTGAGTAATTGCTGCGGCGCTAACCGTCGCAATGCAGTTCATTTCGTTCGCTATTTCCACAAAAAACTAACTCTTCGAAAATGTCATCGTCGCTGATGTCGTACGTGTCTCCCATATTTCGCTCTTTAATAGATTATCGAATACTTTCACCGACAAAAATAAATATAATGTCAGAAAAAATCGTTATCATTAACTCACCGTTCTTTGAAATTCGTGATTCGAAATTTTTGCATCGTTGCAATCACTGGTTGGTCGTACCTAAAACTATTACACGATAGACAGACGCGTCTGGTCGAAAATTGTTACCAAAATTAAAAACAAATTTAACCAATATGTATCATAATATTCAGACGCCAAATTCTTTTTTTTTTTTTTACACGGTTTCATTAATCACTGCTCAGAGAAAGAGAATTAATTCTATCTTTTTGAAAAAATCGTCGCTTCGTCGAAGTTTCAAGGACTGATTCGAAGATATTTGTTATACATAAATCCATATTCGATGTTGGCGCCGACCAATGAAATCTAAATTGTTGTAAGCCAACGTTGATCTTCACGAAAACGCGGGCATCCGTTCAGAACTACTTTATCATTTAATGTAATTAAATCGCGAAAGAACAAGCTCTTCGGTGTTTCCGGTGACAAGACAATGTCAGCACTGTTCGCAAAGCTAAACTGTTGCAGCTTCGTTACGAAATGAAAGCCGCCAAAACGTTCGTCGTTGAACTGACAATCATCACTGACAACTTATACATTAAAATGAAACATGTAAAGCACGCATCTAGGTTAAATCACTGTCAACTGTGGTAACGCCAAGTAACACAGAGATTTTGGTGCGTTTACGAGAGAGTTGATGCCTCGAATCATCGAGTTTCGTGCCAACACTGTGCGAGGGGCGCGAGATGCATTCGGTGAGGAAACAACGATTACCTCGAGAAAGTGGAGCCTCATGATAGCAGCTATCGGAACGAGTGGATCTAGCCGACGTTTCCAACCTGACGCGGCGAAAGGCAGCGACAGAACTACGGGAGAACATTAAATGCCGAGTTCTAAAACGAGAAATCCATGATCACGTGTCTACAAACCACAACGGTCGAACCGGTCGAACTGCGAGCACATCGTCGCCGTCGTTCGGACGCTCTTCTAGGTCGATCCTTTTCTCGTTCGACAGCCATCTCTCTCTGGTCGGTAGTTTATGGTGTCGATCCAGGGACGACTCTACTGTGAAACCAAGGATAGGAAAAAATCACAG